GGAATGGTCCCGTAGATCCTGTCACAAGCTGGAAGTGTTCCAACCTTCGTAACATGTACAGCCTCGCTGGCTGCGGATTGTTGGCCACGATGGAAGGCCCCAGCTTTGCACCTGCCATTCCGGGCTGGCCGCGGGTCGATGGCTGTCCAATGGTAGTGCGGGAAGATATTTCACAAGCAAGAAAAGCCTCTCGTCATTAGGTTCCAGAAGCGTTTACCCATTTTAAGATCAATTCAGAGAGCCTGAAGATCAGTTCAGAACATCGCCATTAGCGTAAAGACATGCTGCGATGACTTCTTATCATTGAAGTTCGTCACACGAATTCAATCTGCCACCCAGCCAGGCCCCTCTGAACGCAAAGGATTTCTGGATCCCCCAGGCCAGTGGTGCTGGTTGCTGTCCAAAAGTGACTTAGCAAGTTTCATGCCGTTATCACATGATCAGATAGCTCAGGAGGGGAGTCTCGGCTTTTTATGAGTCTGCGCCTTCGCATTCGCAGGCGCGGGCGACTTAGCGATACCTGCCGATCACACACCAGCTGGGCGGATCAGAGTCGAAAGCTGAGTTTCATCAGATCCTCATGGCCACCAGCAGGGAAACCATGCTGTATGGTCACATATGTACACATGTGGAGTTTGTATCTATCCACGTACCCATATATTGTAATAAGACTCATTATGACTATATATTATAATATAGTACGTATTACTATGTATTCATTTTTATGCGCGTATACGAAATATAGTACACATTGGTATCACTGCATCTCATACCAACAATCTGGCAACAAAACCACTTGTATGTTGAACGATGTTAGACGTTTATTAATGATCAGTCGGAGGGTCACAGTTGGAGTATCTTTACAAAGGATACCTGTTTTCTTTTTGTGCAGTGTTTGTTGTTTTTTCCTTGGTGCATTGCAAGAAGTGTTACAAACCCATGGTGTTTGCTATGTTTTGCCTCCAAAAACATCGGTCATTGAGTCATTACAGTATTAAAGGATACCAGGATACCTACAAAAATGCGTTGTTTGCATTAACAGCACGTATTTCTTCTTCAGTACATCACAAAAACACCGGTATTGGCTGACATTTTGGAAAGGACACCCCCAAAAGCGGTTGTTTTTGCAGTGTTTTTTCTTCCTATCGGGGGGAGTTCGAAAGTCGCTCGTGTTTAAGCTTCATTCACTGATGAAAGGTACCAGGGGGAATTGGAAAATAGCGTGCGGTGTAGTTTCATTCACTGATGAAAAGTATCGGGGGGATTCGATAATAGCTTGCTTCACGAAGCTTCATTCACTGATCAAAGGTATCGGGGGGAATTTGGAAAATAGCTTGAGCTTAGCTTCATTCACTGATAGCTTGTTTAAGCTTCATTCACTGATGAAAGGTATCGGGGGGAATTCAAGAATAGATTGTGTTTAAGCTTCCTTAAATGATGAAGCGTACCGAAGGAAATTCGAGAATAGCTTGCTTTGAAACTACGTTGTTTGGAACAATCAACATTCAAGTTTTGACAGTATGTTGTTTTCTCAAGCCTGACTCTTTGGATGAGAAACTTGTGAAAACGAGAGTTTGATAAATATATGAAACAAGTTAACACATGTTCTTCCTTGGAAATGTCTCAATATTGTCAGATTTGCAAGCCTACAATGTGTAACAAGTCATAACGGAGACGATGTTACGATTGTGGTTTAAATGATTGACCGCAATCTGACTCAGCTGTTTGCTTTACTTGAATGATTGAAGTCAGAATGCGTAACGACGTCACGCACAATCGCATGTGGGGCTCCGACAGCATTCCAAGTTGTGCACACAGCATTCCAAGTTGTGCACACAAGGAATGTCCCACCCATGTGATCATTGGCACATCCCTCGGCTTTCAGTTCACTTTTTTGAAGCCGCTTTGCCCTCAACCTAAAAGAGCTTTATAGAGTTTTCATAACATGGTCCTTTAGTTTAGACACAAGAAAACAACTGAAAACAAAGAAGGCTTGAATCCCACCACTCATCCTTGATGCTTTTCGCAGGTTGGACTGACCAACAACCCCAACGAGGCTTGTCAGCTGTGCTCATCAGGGTACTGTAAAGTCTTGTTTCGAAGTGCATGTGGCAGGATGGGCATGTTGTTCGAGTCGCTTTTGCACTCATTTTGCACGTGACCCTAGAGGTTACCTTCGGCAGCCACAATGACGGCCAAATCCACTCTGTCCGCAGCTTGGAAGTTGCCGTGTTTGAAAGACGTTGAAGTTTTAACCACGCTGGGGGGTGGCAATTGTGGTGGTTGCGTTGGGGGATGGGGGTGGTCTGTGTGGCTCGTGACCACCAAGTAGTCCGAAGTGTTGGAGGATTAATTCTTTTTCTGGGGTTTGGGCACAAACTTTCTCGGAGGATTTGCACCAGAACAATTGTTGGAGGCAAACCAAAGGCTACGTATATGATGAAGAGCAACATATCATTATGAACATGTGATTGCTGCGTATAGCCAGAGTGAACATGTTTGGTGAAGCTTGACGCTTTCAATAGTCTTTTTAGTTGGCCGTTCTCACTGTCGACAAACAGCTGAGATGGCCTTGAACTCTTCAACCCGGTCGACAATCGTTTGGATGATTGAAGATAAGCGGCACCAAAGAACACGGTTCTTCCCGCATAGCTGTTCATAGCTCACAGGCAGCCTTCCATTCTCCAAGCTGCAGAGTAGGAACAATTGACAACCTGTTGATTTCAGGTGGGGCAGCAAGGATTCACCTAAAACGCATGGGAACCTAAACACCACTGCTAATGGCAGATGAACACTTATTGGTTGCGAGCCGACTAAAATGTGAGCCGCACCTGGTCCCTGAAGCAAGTCCAAGTTGAAGCCGCACCAAGGTACTGTGATGCGGACATGAACCGTTTTTGATTGCAAGATTTCCGATTTCCGCATGGTGTTTGGTGAACCTGGTGAGGTTGGGGAATTGGCAAAGCTTCCAATGCCATGATGGAGGCAGAGTCCGGGGTCAATAGCTCAC